GTCATTAAAAAAAAAAAACAGGCAAAAGCTTTTCCGTCCTAGAACCAAATAGGACCGAAGACAAACGTGCTTAGTGGACACATGTCCCGCGCGACAGAATGGCGTCAGACGTACGCAGGTGCAATGGGCATTAAGTCAATGAATGATAGGACGGTTGTGTTTGTTCCTCTCAAATTAACCTACATAAAGGGGCAGGATCCTCGTAGAGACCAGTGTGTCAAATATTGACTCGTGCTCCCATCCATGGATGGGCTCTCCTCAGTCGATGGGAAATGCCCATCCAGACACGTGCACATGTCCAGGAATGACCAGATTTGGCTTCTCTTGCCAAATCTTGCCGCCTTCAGCCCGTTCCCATCTTTTCCAGATGGGAAGTCCTCCGAGAGATCTTCTGGAGAGGTGGAATCTCCCAACAGCCAATTGGACTTGAAGAACAAGAAGCAACGCAAGGCTCGAACTGCCTTCACGGATCATCAGCTTCAAACCCTGGAGAAAAGCTTCGAGAGACAAAAGTACTTGAGCGTCCAGGACCGAATGGAACTCGCTGCTTCCCTCAACCTCACTGACACCCAGGTCAAAACCTGGTATCAGAACCGCAGGTAATAACGCCGATCACAGATGGGGAGATAGGATGCTATCCATACTTTAGAGTGGGAAATAACTGTAAATTTCGTGCGATTGCAGGACGAAATGGAAGAGGCAGACGGCGGTTGGACTGGAACTGCTGGCAGAAGCAGGGAATTACGCGGCGGTGCAGAGACTGTACGGGGCGGCAGCAGCCGCAGCTGCCACCACCCCCTACGCCGCCTGGCCGTATTCTAGTCCTCACCCGATGACGAGCCCAGCGGTGAGCCTCTCTGCCATGGACCTGTACCTGCGGCAAACGGCGGCGGCAGGGGTGCTCAAGAAGCCTCTTCCGTATCGCTTGTACCCTCCTCCGTTCAGCCTTGGGTTCGGTCCGCTCCTGAGCCCGGGTGTGGGATCCTCCAGTCCTCCCACTCTGAACCCGATGGCGACGACGATTCCGACTGCTCCGGGCCCGAGACCCCATCCCGAATCCCCATCCAGTCCCAACCCGAAAGTGTCCCCAAGTGCTCCCAATTCCTCCTCTGCTAGTCCTGTGAATCTCAGCGCGCTTACTGCTTCGGCTGCACTCTCTTCTATGATCAGATCTGAATCCACCAGTCGAGTGTGAAGAGCAAACCTGTAGACTTGCTCGGACGTAGCTCCTGGTTTCCCCTCTGAAATGAGGTTGTGCACATGACGAATTACGCTTATGCATGATGATGATGATGATGATGGTCCCGGACTGGGAGGGAGTCAGTCCATTTCTCGTCTGCCCTGCTTGCAGTTTCAAGTTTCTCAAGCTGTACCCGTGCTCAAGATATAGACCATCTCTTGCCTTTTATTCCTTTCTTGAATATCGTGCGCCCCTTTTGCTCTTCTATCCCTGTGCTGAGTGTGTTTTTGTTCGCATAGCTTCAGAGCTGTGAAATGATCCAAAGATGAACTGCAGAGAACGAGTGACCGGAAGAGGAGAGCTGAATCTTTGAATTATGATGAGAGTATGAGGGAAATGGCGATAAAAAGAGTTTTGCGGAATCTCTCTCAATTATTTGCCTCTTTTCTTGACATTGCACAACGCCCTATGGTTATTGCCGGGGACAGATTGGATGTTGCCACGCTATGAAAAGGAGGTTGTGAAACGAGGAGGAGTCTGCGATCGTACTTTGTTTCGGGGTCTCTTCTATCTAATAAAGAGGCCGTGGCCAGAGCTGATGAGTTTTAAAAAGAGATTAATGATGGTCTTGACACCTGGCGAAGGAAGATGAGATTACCACTTCCTTCCCCCCGAAAAGATTAATCATCTCACGGCCCTCGGAGAGATTATCAGCTCCGACTGCCGGGAATCAAGTGCACGGGACGGAGTCGCCTTGAAATGCTCAGTCGGTCGTGTCCTCAATTATCATGCAATCCAGAGACACGCCACCGTGAGCGGCGATTAGCGTGGCATTAAAAAACGCAGCACCCCTTACGATGCGAGGCAAGGACTCTCGCACGCTCGGAACAATGCATCCGCCCCATCCCATTGTCTGCAAACGCTTCTCCGCCCGGACTCGAGACGAACTGGGAAATGCCCGGTAGTTGCGAAAAAGAAAAGACCTTGGGAAGGAGGAAGCGACTGGCAGCTCACCGCTTGACCTCGTGGCCGGAGATCTTTTGACCCTAATTACGAGACGGGAATGAGAGAGTCGGGCAGGAAGGAAGAGGGAGACGGGGAGAAAGAAAGAAAGAAAGGGAAAGGATGCATGCGTTCAATCACGTCCATTATGGCGTCCCCGTAAGAAGAAAAAGGATGCTCGACGAGACGAAGCATCTGTGAGAAATCCCCCCGGGGCATCCCTCCCCATCCCTCCCTATAACGCATTGGTCACCCCCCTCGCCAAACGCTCCCGTAATAGGATTCATAGGAGAAATTACGCCTAATTGCAAACATGCACGCACACTTATACAAAGGAAATGGGACGATCTCGGCCGTACCCCCAGCAGTGCCTGGATACCCTCGAGGACTTGCCACTGTTCCCGATGCTCGACTTAATTCCCTCGACAATAGCCTTCAGGTTGTCTCTCGCGGTCGGGATGAATAATTGAACCGGGGATGGGTTGTGGAAATGCACTGGATAGCCTTTGTCATTTAAATTCCGGTTTTATAAATGGATTCGTGAAAAATGTCATTAGGAAAGGTGAAGTACTGTTCCACAATCCGGGGCTAATTTTTCTCGCGGAACATTTCCGGGGAAACGCTCTTAATTCTCGACGGCTATCGCTTTTCGACGTTCCATCGCGGAATATGACGTGAAATAATTGTGTTTCCCAGGGAAAAAAAAAAAGAAGTCATCAATTTTTCACGAAAATGATAGTCCTACCCGAGCTCTCAGACTGATTGTTCCCGAGCCCGAAGACAAAAATTTGGTTGTGCAAGCCCGTCCCGACAGATTCGGCTGCAGCATCCCGCTCATCTCGCGGTTTTCTTGGGTTTCCCTCGGGCAGAAGCAGCATCTCGTGCCTGTTATCCTTGAGATGACTGCAATTAGCGCAGGCCACGGAATGAACGTGTTCTAAACTGCACCGGATGGGAAGACCCAGGAGTTCCCAAAAGAGTTCCCAAATTCGGAACACCGTGAGAGAAATCTAAATTTAAAGCATTCGAGATGTGCAAATGATTTCGCGGACATTTCGACGAAACTGATCGTTCCCGGAGCCCGAATAATCGCCTTTATTTTTTACCCACGCTATGTCAAAATAGAGAGCGACAATTGAATTTCTCACACACCGAGGCAGACGCAGACACACTCGCTCACATCGCCTAAATAATGATAACGATAATAACAATAATAATAATAAAAAACCTGTTACACGGTTTCCGAACGGTAATTGGAATTCTTGGAAAATCACCTCCACGTGTGACGCCGTGTAGATTTCCGGCCGAAGTCTCGCATGGTGCTCCGCCCGCAGCCGTGTAAAGACGGGAACATTTTTTCTGGGTCACCTGGCGTCACATTCTCCGAAATGTTTTAAATGAAATCGGTCGTTCGGTGACTGCCTGAGTGCTTTCCTTCCCACACGATTGGGAAACGCGCGATTCCGTCTTCGTCTGCCTGCTCAGCTGGACTGCGGCAGAGGATGAGGATGAGGATGAGGATGAGGATGAGGATGAGGATGAGGATGAGGATGAGGATGAGCGTCCGGGGGTCCCCCACGCTGATGCTTGTCGATTTGACGCCGCGTGGGGAAGACGCTGTCGCTCCGAACGACCGATTTCGTGCGGAAATATTCGCGGTATCGCCTGCACGTATCGGATGTGACGTCTTTCATATTTCTCGCCGCGTGGTGTTCCGTCTGTAGGCATGCGAAATTGGGATCTTTTTTGAGTCACGCGGTACATCAATTACGAATCTCGGAGATGTCTTCTCTCCCCGTCATTTCCTTAAAATTTCCTCTCTAGGAAATCGCCAAGATTAGATGAGTCCTGAAGCAAACGTATATATTTCCACATCAAGTGCATCATTTCTTTTCTCAGTTTCGCAGATCTATCATTATTCCGTTTATACGATGTCGAATTTTTTCATTTTTGCTCCGAAAATAATGCTCAGTCTGCGAGCATTATTGCTATTTAAAGAAAAAAGGACTTTGATGAAGGTTGTGAGCATAAAACATTCACACTGACTGGTGGAAATTGAAAATAAAAGAGAACTCCAAGAACTCCAAGAGCAATGCCTAGAATACCATCAATTGAGATGAATCCCAGGTGGTTCTTTTATGGAGTCTCACTTCCATTGAATTTTTTTTTCCCACGCGTCATAGGCCGACGGAATTTGCAGCGTTTTCCACAGCATTACCCAACATGATTTCCTTCCTCCATCCTCGGCGTTTCTTGAAAAATATAATCGTTTAATAAATTTTAGGAATCCGAATTGGTAAGGTGACTCGAGACTCAAAATGGCATCAATTCCCGGCCGAGTGTTGCAATTTTTTTTTTTTTTTTTTTACTGCTGACCGGATCAAAGCAAAATGCAGCTGTTTTGGAGGGGTGAAGACGCTCCCAGGTGAAGACCTCGTCGGTGGTTTCACAGGGTGAGTGATACGTCAGCTTTGCTCTGATGAAGCCTCCCCAAATGCAGAAACGTCGAAGACAGACACCTGCCATCGAGAAGATTCCATCCAAGAAATTGCCATCTGAGCTGCGACGACATTGAAGAGATTTTAGTCCCCGTCTTTAACGAGGACGTCGACTCGAGCCGCGACAGGCATTTTGGCTCCTCATTACAGACGTGAAGCGTGGATGCCCCCCCCCCCCCCCCCCCCCC